CCCGCCCCCCGCGCCGCTTCTGACGCCAGTCCCCGTCGCCTCAACTCCATTGTCGCCCTCCGTCGAGCCTTGAGTGGATGAATTGTCGGCGACGAGCTCGGAAATGTTGGCGAGCATGACTCCCTGAAACCGCTTCTGGAATTTCTCGTAGTGGTTTGTCGACGGTTCTGTCTTGCTCTGAGTGGCAGCCTGCTTCATGCAGGAAACGAATCGGCCGCCGTATGGGACGAGAAATACAGTGGTTAAGTCGCTGCACTCCTAGTCTAACACTCGATAGTCGTCCAAAGACAAAAGACGCCTTCTCTTGCACAGCGCTGCCACAAAACAGGAGGGAATACGCAACACATAACAGGGCATGTAATCCTGGGTAGGTACCTTGTGGATGCGGCCGAGGGCGTTCGCGGCGGAGATGACGTGGAAGTGGTCGCCGGACAAACGTCGGTCGCCGGGCAATTTGCTGCTGAGTTCGTTCGCCTCGTCATCCCGCTTTTTCATCCATGGGCGGACAATTGTCTCGAGAGCGCCTGACTGGACGTAGGCGTACTTTTCTACCAGCCTATCGAACGATGAGCCGCGGCAAGAACAAGGAAAAAAAAGGTCTTTGGCTGAGTGGAAGAAAAAACAGTTGTCACGCCNCCATGGGCGGACAATTGTCTCGAGAGCGCCTGACTGGACGTAGGCGTACTTTTCTACCAGCCTATCGAACGATGAGCCGCGGCAAGAACAAGGAAAAAAAAGGGCTTTGGCTGCGTGGAAGAAAAAACAGTTGTCACGCCATCGCGGCTAACTGCTACGGGCCTAGTGTGCCGACATGACGCCTTGTAATGCTACATGACGTGTGGTATACGACGTTATCACTCACACTGCGAGCTCGGGGGACCACTCGCTACGAGCGCCGAATGCCGCCTCAGTCCGTTCCATGAAGTCATGTGCATCGTGAGCGAGTTTGGCGACGTCAGGTAGATCATCGCCCGTTAGCGCCTTCGAGTTGTCGGATGAGGAGCGGAACCTGGCGGGGAGGGTGGGGGTGGTGGTGGAGGCGTTGAAGAACCTCGCGCACAAATGAAAGCCGTACCAGACACACATTGACAGCCTCAGATAATTCGGGAGGCTCGGGATATCTGACCAGAAACATGGGTGTTTCACGTTTGTGGTGAGGGATTAAGGCTAGGTACTTTGCCACACGCATGCGTGTCTTGTACGGCCGGCCAACTCAATGCTCGCCTAACCATGTGTTCGAGCATAAGAGCTTGAATCGCACCACTGGTCTGACCGGCTTCACCAAACGCGCTGTGGCTGAGAGTGGTCCACGTAAGGGACGCCATGTGGATGGAGGGGTCTTCGTGAGATCTCTCTTGGATCCGCTGCAGCGCCTGGAATCCTTCCGTCGTCAGACAATTAACGGCAGCCTTATGGCGGCGGACGGTTGATTGGCTAGGTGGAGAGAGACCCCCCTGCGTTCCGACAACAGATCGTCACCAGAGGCGAGTTCCGCAGAGAGGGTTAGGATCATCACAACGTCTTTCGCGACGGCATCACGAACAGAGGCGTAAAGACGGAGGACGTCTTTCCTGCCAACATCATTAGCGTCTATCTAGCTGGTGGGGGTCCCCGGAACGCACCTTTACGTAGGCGTCTTGGATCATCCTAGCAGATGGGAAAAACGAACCCTGCATCTTCCTGAAGCCATCGAGGAGCTGGTTCATGAAGAAAACATCGTCGAACACGCCACGGGGGACCAGAGCCTGCGCGACATTGTTCAAGCCTGGACGTGGCAACATGTAACAGGCACTGCTGATGACGTACATGTAGGTACAGGTCGGATAATTGTACGTAGATCTTGTAGCTTGTAGCAGCAGCAGTCACACCGCACATGGGCCGGAGCCCCCGCATACCCCTCCGTACAAATTCTTCAATCGGAGGGGGGGGGGGGNAGCTGCAGAGCACAGTGCGTCCTGTGCGCGCCGTCCAGAATCCGTAATTGGAGCTTCGCGGCTGCCGCCGCACTCAGCCCGCCGGCGGGTACATTCGATGCTTCAACCATAGCCAAGATGGCGTGCTGCTGCAAGAATCCGCGGGCTTGCTTCATAGACTCCGTTATGATCCTTACCCCTGAAGTTGCTATGGGACGCCCAATTATGTTGACGTTGGTGACAGGGATGTCAAACGTGCCAAGATA